ACACAAAATGCAGCTACCATAGCTGCAGCAGGATGCACATAACACAGAAATTAGAGCTGCTCTGGGCTCTCATCTCATGGACCAATGGAAGATGGAAAACAATATCTTATATTAAGGTGTTTGTGCAGTACATTGGTAAGGTGGGATTGGTGAGACTGTCATGCACTGTACTGCTTAAAAGACTTTTGTGATACAGATTCAAATATTCTAAGGCCGCACATGACCATTGAGACCATCTAGCCAGACCTCCTGTATAGAACAGGCCATACACAGAACTTCTACTCTAGGAATTATTATGGGGATTTTTTTTGAAAAGCATCCAATATTGATTTTAAAATTACATCTTCTGTGACTCTACGCTGCTGAGGGAGATAGTGTTACTTTATCAACACAGAGAGACACTTTACAGTGGACAATGCCACGGAGCTCCACACATCTTTCAGGGTCTCATTCTCAGCATCACCTCTGTCTCTACTTTTCAGTCTCCTCCCACATCCAAGGCTGTGTAGTGGGGCAGAGTGGCCACCCACCGACTTGGAGGAGGAGGAGGAGGAACCCCTCCAGCCGCCTTGTTGACTGAGCCTGACCTAGCCCGGACACCTGACAGGAAGTCAGAGTGCAGGCCTAGGGCTATATAAGCCCAGCCTCTGGACTCAGTCAAGGCTGAGCCTGCAGAGGAACCAGAGGCCTGCTCAGGGTTCCCGGCCTGGGAGGCTGGGGTTGAGGCCTGGCTTGGGCCTCCAACCTGCGCTGAGCCAAAAGCCGACTACCTGCTTCCCGCCTGGGAGGCTGAGGCCTGGCCTGGCCCGCCTACCATATTAGACTCTGCAGAGGACCCAGGGGGCCAGCCTGATTCCGTGTATCAGCCCACGCCCGGGAACTGGGAGAGACGGCTGCTGCTGTCAAGGCTGGAGGCTAGGCCGAAGATCCTGACAGAACCTGACCCTGAGGACTGGCCCAACCACCTTACCCAGCCTGCACTAGGAGACTGGCTGAGCCCTGCAGACCTGCAAGCAGCGGAGGACTGGACCGGACCGCTGGAACCCCATTGGGACGAGGCCACCTGGACTCCCTGACTGCGCAGCCAGAAACCCAGGTACTGGCTGAGAGGAAGAAGAGAAGTAGAGACAGGAAGTGGCCTAGGGACTAGTGGGAGCTGTTAAAGGCTGCAAGGCCAGCAAGTTTTGGACTGGAGCCTCCGCTGAGCCCATAGCAGCCTGGGCTCCTAGGGCCCTGGGCTGGGGTGCAGTGGAGTAGACAGGCCTGTGTCCCCCCCTGCCACACACCTACTAGGTGGCAGTCTCCCCCCTTGCCACTGCCACAGGTGATTAGCCTGCACCCCTCCTGAACAAGGAGCCCCCAAACCTGCTGTGGTTGTTTGCTGCCACATCCTAAACCAAGGGCCTAACCTACCCATAACGGACGGGTAGGATTGCCAGGTGTCCATTATTCACCTGGACAGTCCGGTATTTTCGCTTCCCGTCCGGTAAAAATATTCAGAAAATACCGGACACCTAAGATGTCCAGTATTTTCTGATTTTTTTCCCTGGCCAGAAGGCAAAAATGCCGGGCAACTGGCAACCTTACAAACACTCAGCACCCCGCCTCTCTTCCCCCCCTCCCCCAACCCCAGACTTACCTAGTTCCGCAAGGCTGCCAGCACAAAATCGCTGCCAGCAAAAAGATCAAGGGGAAGCAGTGACTCCCCTGGGTCTTAGTGCTCAACTTCTCCACATTCCTATCCCTGCACTCACTCTTAAAGAAGACATGCCGTTTTATCTTATTTTATTTATTGATTTATTTATTTATTTTGCTCAACAACTTTGGTCTCCTCCCCATTTTTTTCCCCCTTCAACAGAACTTTTTTCCAGTGTTTTTTTTGGGGGGTAGGGGGCGGGTGTTTGGTATTTTTGTCTCAACCATCTGGCAATCCTAATGACTGGTTCTGTTGCTGTTGCGCCCTGAACCAAGAGCCTGGCTGCATGGCATCATCTAACTGTGTTTGTTATTGCCACGCCCCAAACCAGGGCCTGGCCTTTCTATATAAACTGACTGTGAGTGTTGCTGCCATACCCTGAACCAGCGCCTGGCTGGCCTTTAGAAACTGGCTCTGTTTGTTTGCTGCCACACCCTGAACTAGGGCCTGGCCTATCTGTAAACAGGCTTTGTTGGGCTGCGCCCGCCTTGAACCATAACTGGCCTATACATAAGTTGACATTGGTTGAGTGCTGTCCCACCTGATGGAAGGCCAGGCACGGACTAGTGACTTTGGACTTGACTTAAAGGGCCAGTGCAATGGGGCAGAGTGCCCACCCATTGACCCAGAGGAGGAGGAACCCCTCTGGGAAGCCAAACGGGTTAGAGGCTGTCACAAAGTTTTGCCACTCTTTTCTCTAGAGCATTTTGAAATCCAATTCAGCTTTTCAGTTATAACATTTATAATATTAGCCTTTCTACTGCTATATATTTGCACTTTGGGCTGCACAAATTGCTGCTGTTCGGTCCATCTAAAATATTCCTACAAAGATTATTCTTCTCTCTCATTACTCTGATCACATCAGTTCCCTTTTTGAACTTCTCACTGCCTCATCTTCACCTACAAAACCCTACTCAACAACTTCATCCCAGCCTATGTTTCAGACCTTATTATATCCTGTCCTACTTCACCTTTTTGCTATAATTCCAATATCAGACTTATTGCATTTTTACAATCCTTCTCTACTTATACCTTTTATGCTGCCATCTGTGCTTGGAATAAATAAATCTCCCAAACCCAGTCAGAAAGACCCCTTATTCAATCCCCTCGAGAAAGGGTAACATCTTCCAGAAAGCCCACAAGCACAAAGTCACAATCAAAAAATTCCCTCTGCAACCCAATACAGAGGGTGGGTGAGTCCATGGAAAAGATGAACACGAACAGAAAGGAAATGCAAGAGTAGTGAGATCAAAGATGTGAACTTACATAGCCATAGAGTATTGGAACACTCTTCCGCTCTTTCCCCTTTTCTGCCCACTACTGTCTGTTCTTCTGACTCATCAATTCATGTCTATAATTAGATTGTAGCCTCCTAGAAGTACTGTGTCCTAATTTCCAGACATCCCTGGAAACCAACAATCGACCAACAAAACAAGTGTTGCACAGGCAACAGCATCTAAGTGGTCTTAAACAGAAGCTCTCTACTTCAGGGATGCAAGTACATTGTTCTTCAGAGTAGGGATATAAAAGAATAGTTTTAAAAAAAAGTAACCATTACACACACTGCAGAATTTGCAGTATAAGGCTTGTACTGCAGAGCCCACAGTGCAGCTGATTCCCGGGAGCAGGACCAGCAGCCTAGGGACGTTAGATAGTGGATAACAGACTAGTCGACTAACCACGTGAATTCTTAGCTGTTAGTCCACTACTCTATAGTCCCCGGGGGTGGGGCCGACAGCCAGTGTGCTCTGGCCCTACTCCTGGGAAGCCCTCTGCCATCCTGCATTGCTGCCTCTGTATCAGAGGCAGCAGTGTGGGAAGCCAGGTGGGAGGCCGGTCTGCAAGGGGAGCCAGTTTAAAAGCCAGCTCCACGCATGAACCGGCTGCTTGCCGCCCCACACTGCTGCCTCTGATACAGTTGCAGAAGCGCAGGGTGGCAGCAGACTCTGTGTATGGGGGGGGTCCAAGCTCCCCACAGACAGAGGCTGCTGAGGGAGAAGGGGAAGGAGACAGGGGAGGCTGCCACAAAGCAGCTTTTGTCCACGATGGCCCAGACTGGCCATGAACAGAGGCTGCTCCGACAGCAGCCCTGTCCACGGGGAGCTCGGAATGCCCGCCTCCTGCGGACAGGGGCTGATGCCATGAAGCTAGGGCTTGCCATGGGCAGAGACTGCTTCGCAGAAGCCTCTCCTGCCTCCCCACTACTGCCTCTGATACAGGCAGCAGCACAGGGCAGGAGGGCACCATGAAGCCTGGATACAGAAGCAGCAAAAGGGGTATGTGCAAATGCAAATAGCCAACTAGATTAACCAATAAGCCTAGGCCTATCGGTTAATCATCTAGTTGACTACTCGTTCGCACCCCTACAGCAGCCAGGAGTCAGTGTGCACCAGGCACCATGTTATGCATCAGCTCCTGGTGCACAAAGGTCCCTACTCCCACGGGGCTGTCTCCATTGCAGGCTCTGCAGTATAAGGCCATTAGAGCTCACTGGGAGCTGGCTTATGCACACCGGCTCCCCGTGCCGGCCCAGGTCCCGGGGAACCAACTGCACTGCAGGCTCTGCAATATAAGCTTTATGCTGCACAGCCTCCAGAAGCAGGGCCAGCAGCTCGGAGCCAGTAAAGAGAGTAATCATAATAGAAACGGATAAGTTAATGCTTATCAGTTAACCATTTAAATGGTTACATTCTTGCAGCTCTACTTCAGAGTACTACTTTCAAAAAGTAGCATCTGGTTCTGAATCTCCATGTCATTCTTTCTTTGGCTTCTTTAATGCCAAAGAAATGCCAATAAATGTGGCAAACACCATTAGGAAGCCTGGCTCTCTCATTATATCTTCTTCAGTTACCCACAATGTAGTTTGAGGTAATGACTTAAGGTCAATCCAATATGAATTCAGATGTGACCTTAAAAGATGAAAAAAGGAGCTGTATTCCTTTGCCAAACCTCTGAGCCAGCCAACTGCACATAATTAAACTTTTAATTGCATTAAACAGAAACATGCCTAGTGTGAACATGAAAGAATATAAAAGCAAATTATGAAAATGTGTCAGAAAATATTTTAAAGAGTGTTAGAGAACACTAGGTGGCAGGATTAGCTGCAGTCCGAATTATTGCACAATAGCTCATTCAGTCACATAGTTGTTTAGCCAGAAGATGGCACTATAATCCCAAAGTTTCTCTTGATTAATTCACTAAAACAAGTAATCCAAATATACAGAAAACATTATTCCAAACATTTGCAAATGGATTAAACATAAAACATCTTAACTTACATTCTGAATATTGATCTGCAGAGCCATTTTGTAGTGATTAAAGTCTTTGGCAAGTTCATATCCCTGATGATAGAAAGTGAACATACCCTGAAAAAATGATAGCACCTAGAATACAAGCAGAAGAACTTTCTTAGAATAGAGAACACCAAATGCCATCCAAGGATTGCTGTATTCTCATTAAGTCTTTATAGAAGCATTAAAAAATAAGTAAATAAAAACTCTCAGATTATTTTTTAATAAAAATATTCTAATTAATATCTACTGTTCATGAGAATCTATTTAGATAAAAATGGCTAACAACATGATTAATATCTGTGGAGCATGTCTTGTTTCCAGTCACAAATTGATCGAGATAAAAAACAAAAAAGAAATAGGGCTGTTGACTAATGAAGATAACTCACACGATTAAATAAAAAAACACTAAACTAAAATAAATCAATCAATCAGTTTTAGTTGCACAGTTAAACAGTAGAATACCAATTGAAATTTATTAAATATTTTGGCTGTTTTTCTACACTCACATATATTCATTTCAATTACAACACAGAATACAAATTGTACAGTGTTGTTATACTATTTTTATAAATATCTGCAAAAATTAAAATAAGTTGTATTTTCAATCCCCTTCATAAGTATTTTAATGCAATCTCTTATCAAAGCACAACTTAGAAAAGTAGGGGGAGTTGTATTACATAACTGTATTAAAAACAAACAAATGTATAACTTTAAAGCCTACAAGTCCACTCAGTCCTACTTCTCGTTCAGCCAATCATTAAGACAAACAAGTTTGTTTTAGGGATGTCATTGTGCAGACAACTATATGATTAACTGATAAGCCTGAGCTTATCAGTTAATCTTGTCCACTACATACATTCACTTCCCCCCTGCAGCCTCTGTATCAGAAGCAACAAAGGGGAGCAGGGAGAGCAGGAACCAGTGCCCATGGGGAGCGGGCTTAAAAGCTGTCTTCATGGGCACTGGATCCGTCTGCTCCCGCATCCACAGCTGTCTCTGATAGAGGGGCAGCAGTGCAGAGGATGAGGAGAGGCACCTGGTTCATATCAGCTCCCGCAATCCCGCCTTCCCCCCACCTTGCTGCTTCCTACAGACATGGGGAGGGAGGTAGGCAGGAGTTGGAGCTAGGGGGAGCTAGCTTAAAAGCCACAGCTATATTTAAAAGGCATAGGCACAATGGGGAACTTGGGGAGATTCCCCGCTGCACCTCTGCCTTTCGGGACCTGGCACAAGTAGGGATTGCTTGAATCCCCACTCCCCACAGGTTCCCGGCTACGCCTCTGCCTTTTAAATGTAATAAAAGCCTGACAGCTCTTAATACATTTAAAAGACAGATGCACAGCATCTGGGACCAGGCATGTGCCGGGAATCGGCTGACACCAGGCTCACAACCCAGTCTCCCTGCTACGCCCCCCCCCCCCCACACCTAATGGAGATGGAGCTGGAGGGAACCAGCTGGAGCTTTTAATCAGCTCCTGCTCCCCACCTTGCTGCCTCTCTCTGATAGAGACAGCAAAAGGGTGGGGAGTAGCAACTACTTGCTTACATCCCTAGTCAAGATTTGAAGAAATTTTAGAGCAAGTCCTTGCTGGAGCTCAGCATAAGCCTGGGCAGAATTTTTATGGTTTAGCTTGAAGCAAAGTGCGACTCATTGGTTTTCTTACACACTTTCAACCATGACCAAGTTGTCATTTCAGACTAAATGAAGCTGAACCCAAAAACCCCAGAATGGAAACATGCTGTTTGGATGATTCAAAAGTTATGTTTCAGGACTGAATTCAACCCTGTGAAATTTTGTCCACCTCTGCCCTTAATACCATAAGCCAAGGTCATCTGAAGAACATTTCCAGGGCTTAAGCATGGCTGTACTCAAAACCTCGCATCTGTCACATTATTTTTAAAGTGAGCAGACAAATCACTGGTGCACCCACGGAGGGGCTGAAGCAAAATATAGGATTATGTAGCACTTTAAAGACTAACAAGATGGTTTATTAGATGATGAGCTTTCATGGGCCAGACTTCCTCAGATCCTATTTGATCCCTCCGCCAGCCCTTCTCTCCGCCCTGTGCCCACTCCTCCAGTAGCCCCACTCTGATCGTGTGAGCTACCCCTCCTCATCCCCTCTCCTACGGAGGGGCTGAAGCAAAATATAGGATTATGTAGCACTTTAAAGACTAACAAGATGGTTTATTAGATGATGAGCTTTCATGGGCCAGACTTCCTCAGATCCTATTTGATCCCTCCGCCAGCCCTTCTCTCCGCCCTGTGCCCACTCCTCCAGTAGCCCCACTCTGATCGTGTGAGCTACCCCTCCTCATCCCCTCTCCTAAAACTTTCCTCTACACACCTGCCTTGCCTCTCTCTTCTGGTGCTGGTCCCGCCCCTGCAGGTGTCTGCCCTTCTGCTTCACCCCCAGAATCCTTTGGCACCTGCACCCTCCTGGTGCCTCCACCTTCCCTTTTTGCCACTGGGGAAGAAGGAAGAAGAAAAGGAGAGAGAAGAAAAGACAAACTGCAGAATTCCCTGTGTCAGATGAAAATGCTCGTTCCAGTTTATTTAATCAGAAAATTGAAATATTCAATGAAAAATTCCAAACAAAATGAAACATTTTTGTTTTGTTGAAAAATTTCAATAGAAACTTCTTACAGAAGTTTTGCATAAATGGATTTGATTTAGGATCTAAATCACTGTTGTGAAATCAATACTGAAAATAGCTTTCTGATTGTTTCTCCAACTAAAATCCCTCTGCTGTGTTTCTTGTGCATGGGTGTATAGTGAATGTGTGATCTATCTGAAGTAATGAATGGACCTCTAGCCACAGCCTTATTGAGCTCTTAATGCACAAGCAAGATGATATGAATGGTAATTGGCCTTAGTGTTGGGAAATTCCAAAGCCACTTAGAATGCTGTGTCCCCTACTGGAGTGTTTCCAAAGAATGTTCTTGTTCCTGCTTCCCCTTTTCTGCATGCCATCATGTGCCAGAGAATTTGCATATTGTAGCAAAACATTAAGAGGTAACAAATGTCATATCAGTCCAACAGCGCTACCTTGGGTGATGGCTGTACCCAGGAAAGATGGGAAAGCCACAATAAAAGGTAATATTACCTGCATGTCAGTGCAAACATGATCCCCAAAGAGATCTGTAGTTCAGCTCCATGCAAAGAGCAAACCTAATGAAAAGAATCAATCTGTGATCTAATTTAATGGCAGATCACAGATTCAGAGAAATGGTGGCTCCTTCCAGCCCCGCAAGTCCAGAACCCATTCTGATGCAGGGCAAGTAATATAAATAACAAATAGCATTTTCATTCATTTTTTTTCCATAAAGGCAAAGGCGCTTCAAGAGAACTACCCCTTTCACTCGCTGCTGGGTCACAGCAGCCTTTTCCCTGCCCTGTCCAGACCCTCCCTATGGGCAAACACCCTTCACTCCCGACCCACAGAGGGAGCAGGGTGCAGGGACAGCACAGAGCCAGAGGGGTGCAGGGAACAGTGGGGGAGCAAGATGTGATGGAGGCACGGGGAATGGGACGCGGGGAGGAGGAGGGGCAGAGGAATCAGGGTCTAGGGGCAGTGCAGGGAACGGGCAGAACAGAGCTGGGGGGAAGGGATCGGGGGAGCAGGGTGTGGGGGTGCGGTGGAGGCACGGAGAATGGGATGCAGGGAACAGGAGGGGCAGAGGGATCAGGGTCTAGGGGCAGTGCAGGGAATGGGCAGCACAGAGCTGGGGGGGCAGGGATCGGGGGAGCAGGGTGCGGGGTGTAAGGGCAGCGCAGAGCCACAGGGTCACAGGGAAAAGGGAGAGCAGGAGGTCCAGGGGGCAGGGGAGGCATGGGGAATGGGCGACGCGGAGACAAAGGGC